ACCTGTCTCATCATTATATACAGCCTCCCTATAGATACAAGATGCCAGGAACCAGATCAACTACAAGACCAACCTGTACAGTAGATTAGCCGTTCCGTACACATGCGATCCACTCCAGAGGTGTTGCAACAGTATCCACTTTTTTCCGCCACCAGAGGCTACTTGCAAACCCCGAAAGACACACAAAGACAATATATCAGATATATACATTGTACCTGTCCTGTCTTTGTTGGAACAGCAACTCTGGACACTTTGTGGAGACTGTAGAGACTTTGTAGAGACTGTAGACTTGTAGAGACAGTAGACACCCTCCTTGTAGCTATAACACTCGGCAAAACGCCCCTCATTCCTCTTTGCCAGGTTTCCAGGTGGCCGTCACGTGACTAGCCCCATGTATTATAATATTGGTTCCTTGCAGTTCCATCTGGGTGCATTGCCGAATTAATATCAAACGCAAAAAAATACAAAATATAAACACACAATTTGGAAAATGTTGACGTGATGATCCCGGTGGTAGTCAATGACAGGGGTGAGATATTGTGGGGGTGGGAAATCGTCGTGTGTCTCTAGTTTGTGTATATATTTGGGCATGTCTTTGTGTGTTTATTTGCGTCACTGGTGTACAGAACTCGTACATACATTGTTTCTGTCTGTTGGGCTATTGATGTCAGGTACCGCACCAGTGCTGATGGTTAGATACCAGTTCTAGGCAGGGGTAGTCAAGCCACCTAAAGCTCATTTGAGATAGTCTCAGAGGGTCTATTGCAAAGGAGTATGTGCTTGTACCTTCAGCAGGTACCAGGGCCAGTTTAGGTCTATCAGGAACAACCGAATCGGATCTGGGAAGTCCAGGAACGTCAGGAACGCGTGCCGTGTTTGGTTAGCAAGTCTTGGACGCCTACTAGGCGCTTTAGTGCCGGAATCGGGCCCCCAACACTAGTGGTTAGGGTCAAAGTGGGGGTGACTCAGCAGGATGACGGTTGGAGTAAATCAGAGATTAATTCTGTATGCCGAAACTTGCGCAGGCATAGTCGGAGTATCATACGGTGCAACTGGCGAAAATTGGAGTCTGTAGCGACAAAAGTGGGCTTCGTGTGTTGCGTGAGGCTGCGTACGCTAATGGGGAGGTGCTAAAGACTTGCTTATACGGTATAGCAATGTAGACCGTTGACAGAGCAGTTAATAATCTGCGAATATATCACATTACAGTCACTCCGGGCAACTGCGTGCCCACCGCATAGTAGTAGCCCATCTCTCAGACCGCAATAAAGTGTCAGGTGGAGGCTCAAAACAATAGTCCACAGGTTCCGTCAGTAATCAGCTTGGAGCCCTACAGGTTGACAAAGAACTAAATGTCGGTCACTATAGGATGGCTTTCAACTTCAGTACAGTACAGTACAGTACCAAACAAGTGATCTTCTTACCAAGCCATGTAGCTTATATTTTCACTCACCAAATCTCCTCCAGGGATTCAAATAGCGGCGGGTTGGAAAGTTGGAGTTCGGTCAGTTCACGGAATTCACCAGCTCCTAAGCATGGAAATGGTATCCACAACGAGCAGTTCAGACTGACCCTATTGTGTGTTTCCTAGAAAGCGGCTAAGGAACGTTGAATCTATCAAAGTTTTAACACCTCCCTCCAGAGTTTCTCCACTGTCTGTAGGTAGGTTGTGTATTCGTGTTGTGACCGGTGACAAGTCTGTACAATGAAGAATCTTTCGGTTCCTATTTGGTAGCATTGAACATACAGATCACGTCCTTAAGAACCAGGTTCCGTTGGAATACTCGTAAAACTTGCCGAAACTCTATAGATGTATCTTTCTCCAATAACTTGTATAGCAAGTCAATTACGTCTCGTGAAAATTCAGAACAAGCCGAAGCAGCTCCTCGGGATTAGCTGCTTCTTTGTCGTACTCTCACTCACCTGTGTATTGTTTCCATTGTGCTGTATATCCACCTTGTATCGGGTCTCATAACAGATACAATTCTGGATTTATTGGCTACAGAAGACAGCTACGGAGAGGGAGGGGGATTGTGGGGATATATCCTATCATATGACAACAAAAAGGGTCTCTTGGTTTGTTTGTTTGTGGGCTGTGTTGAAGATCATGGCCCTGTCATAGTTACGTCGCTTGAAGTAGTCAGTCAGCTTATTCATCTCGTGGCACCGACGGATGGTTGCGTTTTTTTCAAGTTAATGATGGCATCTTTATGTCTCTTTTCTTTTCTGGTTTTATCATCATGCAGCAAGGTGGCTGCTTTGCCCGAAAGTCAAGTAAATTTGTTGAGAATAGAGACAACAAAGTTCAAACCCCGACTAGTCTCAACCTTATACTTATGGATGTCAATAAGAATAGTGCCGTGCACCGGAGCTACACTGTCTACACCCATGCAAATGCAAATGCTTGTGATTATTGAATGTGAATGGAATGCCGGAATTAAAACAAAACAACAAATACGAGCTGCTGCCACAGTAGCACCTTACAGAAAATCAGTCGCTCGGCCTCCTTGCTTCCGCTTATCTGCAACATGGCCCTTTAGCTACATCTACCCCTGCACAGGTGCAATTACTACAGTACACGTCCACACGCTATGATAGAGATAGCCAACACTACGTAAATCAGGTACGGGCACAGCTAATGTTGCATTTTGCCCCCTCGTGATGATCCACGTGTGGGTGTCGTGCATCTGTTGTGTGTGGTTGTATTAGCACTCTCAGGACCATCAAAGGGCAATCTGTATGACACTACTTGTAGGGTCGCAGAGGAGTAGTGCGACAGAGAAAGGAACGTGGACCTGAATGTAGAGGAAAAAACCTCTGGAGTAATGTTACACTGGAAAAAAGTCATCCATGACCGTGTCGCTCGTCTGTATTGTGTTTTTGTCACTTCCAGCAGTATATGGGTATAACACGTACCTTTTATAGACGCCCAAAAGGGAATTTCCGTGTTGGAATAATTAATAGCGACATTTCTCGGCCAAAAGTTTCCCTGTTGACACCAGATGGCAGACTTGCCAGCGCACGAGGATGACACCTGACACTTCCGCTTGGAGAGATAACGGTTCAGTTGGGCAAGCCAGAGTTGGGCGACGCAAGGGAGGCGCGGCTACCGTCTTGGGCGGGGAGTATGGGCTAATTGTGGCATGAAATTTCAACACCTGTATATACTTGTACTTGTACCACCATTTTCCAGGACATAGTGCATTACCAGAAACGCAAAAGTGCAACGTACAGACCTTGTAGACGGCGACTTGCTTGCACGATGGACCCAACAAAAACACCATCCACCCTGCTATTGTGTTTATCTTCAATTCAAACCCTCTTTAACCCATATCGACCGCCCGCTCCATGTCGGTTGTCATTAGGTCCTGCAGGGTGTTGACGTGGGTGTCTTTTGACAGTTCTGATCCGGGTAGATGGAGAATGAGCACGTGATGTGGAGTGTCTGAAGCGTTTGGCGCTGGAGTATCAAATATTGGTTTGTTACTTGATGAGTGCTTGAATTTGTCTCTCTATGAACAATGTATGGAGAGTATCACGATACTTGCAGTTGGTCAAAAGGGTAGGACCCCCCACAAACCCAATTACTGCTAACTGCTCTGGGTGAAAAATAAAATAAAAATACCACCGCGTCACCCACCTTTGACTTGGCCAATCAATTCCCCCCATCGCCAGCTTCCCACGGATATCCCCACATCCCCCCTGCAAATCGGTGCCTGGTCAAGACCGGTTCCGAGCGTGCCTGTTTTGGTTCCTGGATGGACGAAGGCTATTTAGAGTTGAGGTCCGACTTTTGACAGAGAGTAGCAACCTGAGTTTGGAGCGTGGTACGGATATTTTGACATGGCTGGACTCGTCGTGTCCGCAGCTTCAGTTAGATACCCTTTTAGCCCGCATGGCTCCTCCCTGTCGTCCACAAACGGATTGGGCCCAACCTGCATCTGTACCTGACCCTGACCATAACAGAGTTAGCCGGAATAGCGGATGCGACATGTAGACATGTAGATGTGTTGAGAGACGATGATGCTTAAGCTAAGCGGGGAGTTGGCGAATCAATTGTTCCAGCCCTTGGAGTCCTTTCTACGGGCTCAGGTTGTGGCTACACCTCCAGTATCAGGGGCGACCCTACAACTCTGGCAACGACCCACATCCGCAACCGGATACGTGGATAATATTCTGCACAAGGTTGGCGACGCCGAAACAACCACGGGTCAATAGTAGGAGAGCAGGAAGCAAGCTCCAGGACATATTATCGCAAAGTGGCTGTAACGCTGAAGGGTATAGTTCCGGCCGATAGAGATAGAGGGACGTGGTGGAGAGAGGAGAGAGAGCGAAAGAAGAGAGAGAGGAGAGGAGAGGAGAGAAGGCACAGGTTGGGCCTACCGGACAGCTTGGTGGAGTATGACGTGACCAATTGGTTGGTGCAAACGGAGTAACAATATCTTTGCTGTAGACCCACATAGTTGTACTCGTACTCGCTCGTACTGAGCCGTAATGTACTCGTACAGTACATACTGTACCATGCCATCTCTACCCGTCCATCTCCCTCGCAATCGCTACACCACTTCTGTCTTAGCCGCTAGCCGTGTTCCGCCCTGACGTCCACTTTGTGTTTCTCGACACCTCTCGCTCTCCAATCCACTTTTCATTTGGCTAGCACCGCTTTTCGGTCTCTCTTGTTCTCTTCACTAATCAGCAAACCTTGAGGTGCCAAGACTCTCCACTTTTAATTTTTGTGATTTATTATTGGGACAGGTCAAAAAAGTTAAGATTGCCCATTGATGCAGGCCGCACAAAGAAGAGCTCAAGATCTCATTAATCGCCCAAGAAGCAAAAAAAGAGGCTAGTGTGAGTGGAAATCGCAAAAACGAAGGGCTAGCTCTGACCCTAACCCGGCCAACTTATCACCACCCTAACCCCTCTCCTCGATATCGAAGCACTTATATATAGCTCCGGGGGCCCTCCTCCAGTAGGTCACTCCTCTCCTCCATCAACATACCATGTCTGCGGCTCAACTGGACTTCTACTACGATATCGACGACGACTTGGGCGCTCTGACCCAACCCACCTCCAGCCACCACCACATGGTCGCCCATACACATCTGGCCCATAACTTGACCCAGGCACACCCTCAGTCGGCCTACACAACCCCAGACCTGTACATTTACTCCAACTACCCGTCACACACCAGCCACGTGACCTCAGACGCCCGCGACAACAGCAGCCGGCACTTTACTCCCTACTCCAACTCCAGCTCCAATGCTTCTTCTACCTCTGTTGATTGTGCCACTACCTCGACTAGTCACACCCAAGGAGACTCTCCCCGATCAACACAACTACTGACCCAACCCATACCCAGCTCCTCTGCTCCCCAGGTGCTCACGCCGACCACGTCAATCACTTCTTCGGCTCTCACTACCCCCACCTCTACCCTCACTTCTCCGCCTTCTTCGGCTACTTACCCTCTTCCTTCCGTGCCTCGAAAGAGAAGCGTGGAGTTCATCAGCCACGAGATTAGCAACACTAGCGGCGCTCCTCTGGTTCTGAGTCAGCCTCCCAAGCGTAACCATGCCAACAAGCGTCACGTGAGCGACGCGGGTATTGTCCCCAACTCGGAACCCATTTACTACTACCCCAATCTTGTTTCTCCAGCAACAGAGACCTACGACGAGTACCCCACAACTACCATTTATGATTCTATTCAGGAAGAAAACCAGACCGTCCCCGTGACCAGCCACATGACTTCCCATCCCGTCATGTGGAACCCTGCCTACACCGTTCTCCCCAGTCAAAAGGTGTATCAATCTCGCGACAGACACAATTCCGACTATGGCTACGACTATGGCTATGACCAGATGCGACGAGTTTCTGGGAGTGGGTCTGAGTCGCGAAAGACGTCGGAAACAGGCTCTTCCACCTCGGAGCAGGTGGCATCGGGTTTCATCAACTACACCCAGCGAGATGGGCCCAAGCTGATGACTGGAGTGGCCCCGTCGGGGGCCCAGAAAACCAAGCAGAAGCGAGAAGCGGAGGCCCGAAGGCGAGAGGCCGAGCGACGTGAAAAGGGATATTACTAACGGGTATTTATAGATAATGCATTAATCAACCAAAAGTAAATGACCGGCCGAAGCGAGAACAGTAGGGCAATGTACTTGTAGTTTTGGGGCCAAAAGAATCTGGTTTCTAGACCGGGAATAAACCGAGAGCGGCAAACTGAATGGTACCGACAATATGTCACCAGTGCATCTGATTCCACAGTGTGGGCCCACAGTGGCTATGTTTCATGTCCCAAATAAACTATCAAGTATTCTGGTAGCTTAATTAGTTTAATTAGTTTAAGTTTTGGAGCCATGGTGTGGCGAGAAGTTGTGCAGAGTGATCGATAGAGGGCTTTAGATAATTGAAGCGAACTGTGGTGGCCAGAGTGACGAGAAAACCACGATTTACCCTCCGATCAACTTCTCTCCTCTCTCTCTTAGTATTTTGCCTCTCAAAACAGCCCACAATACGACGCCCGGACGATTCTCGTCGGCATAGCGCTTAATAGTTGCCCAGAGCTCATGAGAAAATTCAAAGCAAGCATGAGCCGTTATTCTCATGTCTCAGTTGATCTGCAATAGCACGTACAGAGAGGTACAGTACAAGTATCTGCTGATTCAGTCAGTACAAGAGTGAACCGCATACATCCGCATACTATGGCAATACAATACGAGTGGTTCCACTACTGGCACTCAAGAAAACGTGGAGCAAGTATCTGGATTGCGGCCGGCGTACGGCTACAGACGACCGGACTGATGCTGGTCTTCAGTGCATATCTGTCTGTTTACGTGGCGCATATGCACAAAATGTCAAAAGGTGTACGATAGTGAGCCGTCTACGAGGGCTTTGTGTGTTTCATTCTGCTGAGCTACAAGTATGAGCGACTTGAGGGTACAGGGTTAGTGTGGCTTGGGCGAAGAGAGCAAGGCTGAAGCAACAACTGCTGCTTGTAAGGCTAAATACGACATTGTTGGCGCATGGCGAGGGCGGCATGAGGTGTGGAATCGGAGAAAGAGGTTTGTTGATGCAGCTGTCAAGAAGGATGGTGGGTGGCGTTTGAATGTGAAGAAACGAGCCAGTCGAGGGGTAGCAGGAATTCTGAGAACACAAAGAGATAGCTAAGAGGGCGCTGGTCTGAACGGTGTACTTTATGGAGCTACATAATCCCCGAATCAAGTTGTACGCTACATTATACGGACGTCATGTGGTGCATGCAGTTATTATAGGGTGGTGAAGGCGTTCCAATAAACATACCAATCAGGATTGACATGCTTGTCGACCCCAAAAGGACTCAAGTACGAGTACGAGCCAGTGCGCATGTCTGTCGCTGTTAATACGCATGACTGTAATTTCTGCCGACCAAGAGTGAAGTTTCTGCCGACTATGTGTAACACTCGCTCTGGAGAGTTAGTCATCCGACAGGGTAACTCTAATCTCCCAACACCTTATTAACTCTGCGTAACTGTAACTCTTCTTGCCACGTCGATCTTACTCAATTTTCCTGCTCATCATCTGCTGGATTGTTGTCTATCGTCTGGCTCTAATACATTTATTGTTTATTGCCCAAACAACTTTCATTGCACGTAAGTGAATTGTTTTATAACAGCGTTCGCCAATTGCTGCGCCATCGTCGTCCGGCTGTCCTACCGTTAGGGGTAGTGTGTCTCACACTACCGAGGTTACTAGAGTTGGGAAAGCGATACTGCCTCGGACACACCACCTGGGTCTTACGACTGCAGAGAGAATCGGCGTTACCTCTCTCACAAAGCCCTTCAGTACCGCCGCCTGTCGGGAACCGCGTTCAGGTGGAACAGGACCACCTCCCTTGCACTTCTTGGTATATCAGTATAGGCTGATGTATTCATAGTGGGGTTTTTCATAATAAATTTACTAACGGCAGGCAACATTCACTCGGCTTAAACGCAAAACGGACCGTCTTGATATCTTCTGACGCATTGACCACCGAGAAATAGTGTTAGTTACCGGGTGAGTTATTGTTCTTCTACACAGGCGACGCCCATCGTCTAGAGTTGATGTACTAACTCAGATTTCACTACCTACCCTATCCCTGGTACGCACAAAGCACTTTATTTTCTCACATATGGGTGAGATTTCTGCCAACCAATTTTCATTTTAAAATACTTCAGACAGGGCCGGATCCACAAGGCCAAGCTGGGTCTCAGGATCCACTAGATCCACTATCGAACTAATTTACTCTCCAAAGACTCCCCTGACTCTGAAACACCGGAAGCTTACCTGGTCAGACATGCCGACCCGTCAGGGCAGGGCTGGCGTGCATTGTGCTGCTGGGTCGTGAACTGCATTGTTCGCTCGTCTTTGTGTGCCACTATACGGATACGACAAATAGACGTGTTATACATATCTTCAATACACGGGATCTTTTCGGAGCCCGTCCCGTCCTCAGTTGGTGGAGATGTCGTTCAACACGGGTATTCTTGAAAAACATGCTCCAGCCAATCACAGTAGCTTCTTGTAGGAACGGTTGGGGGTTTTGAGATAACTGAATAGGAAACGGCTCGACAAGATATTTGCAATCAGCCAAACAGTCCCCGAAAACAAACCACACCCTGCAATTGCCCCACACCAACTTAAACCCGCTGCATTACCTTGCTATTATGAATCTGTCGGAGCTGAGTGTATAGCGACGTCAAAACAGAGTAAATGAGTCGATGTGAAGAGAAAGGAGTAGTAAATCAACAATAGTCGACGAGACGAAGCCATCGGCGTACTCCGTTTTTCTCCAGCTCCTCTGGAACATCCTCAAAAGGTCTGCCCCATTTTCAACTCTATATGTATACCGTGTATGCCAGACAGACAGAACCTACCAGTAGCTAAACCGACACTTTTTTCCAGCGTCAAACGTAATACTGGCGCACTAAGGAACGGCAGAAAAAAAAAGCAGGCATAGTACCCCGCTGTTGCCTTGTCAATAGCTATGTCAATGTCAGATACATCATCCAGCAGGTCTCCAGACCCTGCATAAATGTCTCCATTATAGGTGGATCCACATTAAAGGCTATTTGATGAGGATCTGACAGGTGGCTTGGGGGGAGTTATTAACGAGGTTGAAGGGATGCTGAAAGCTGGAGAAAAAAAAAGTAAAACACATTTAATTGACCACCTTGGCTTCAGTACCATATTTATTTCAATAAATCAATAAATTCCCATTTTATTTGGCAGTATTGTAGTGAAATTCACCACTCCGATCTCATGCAAAGATCGACTACAAGTAGATCCATTTCAAGACAACCAAGAACAAAAACCCCATAATGACACGGGAAAACTATAAAATGGCCCATGAAAGTTGTAGCGCTGTCAAGAGAAAAGTTTGGGGAATACGGATATCTATGCCAATTTATAATCACGTGACGTCAGAGTCTCCTTCAGCCGTACCTCGGCACTCGCCGTTTCAACCTAATTTTTTTTTTTTTTTTTTTGTTTTTTGAAGCAACTTTTTCCCTTGGAACCCGGCAAACAAGGTTGCTTGAATGCGGTGCAAGGAGACTGAAAAGACCGGGCTTTGGGTGGCTGAAGAAATTTTGCACATCATAAGAGAGTCACGTGGTTTCTGTATTTTTTTGAGCTATGCACGGCCTGAAAGAGATCACGTGACTTCGACCGAAGCCCTTCCCCTTGCCTCTTCCGGCTATATCTGCTTTGGTTCTTTATCGACAACTCTATACCCCTTGTATATCTCTCCCGCCTATCTTTGCTGTTGAAATAATTTGGGAGCACAGGTGAGGTGATGGAAGAGGTGGAAAGGTGAGAGAATGTTTGAGATGTCTCCACTTCAAGTAGTACAAGCAGTCTTTGTGTTTCTCAGGAGAGCGGTGTTGGTGAATACTTATCTGGACAGGTTTCGACATGGTGATGTCTTCAACATGGTGATAATTTCGACAGGGTGAGGGTTTGGGCATGATGGTTTTGGCATGATGGTTTCAACATGATTTTTCTTGCATTACGAGTGCTTAATCGAATTGTTATCTGGAAAGACATGCACTTGAGATTCTTGCCGACGATGCCGACCGAGCCCTAACTACTGCTTCTACTGGTCCCGTCGATGCTGCCGCCTCCGCTGGTCATGCCAGATCCCGCCTGTGCATCGTTACGTTAGTATTACGCACGTTTCAGAGGTAGCAGATTATCTGGTGATTGCGAGATAGATCTCATAATAATCTTGACTGGTTTGTATCAATGGTTTGTATGGCTTGTGCCAAGAGGTTTCATCGTACCTCTACCAATGTTCAAAGGGCTCTACCTCCCCCTGGTGCAGGCGCCGCTTCTGATAGGTCTATGGGGAAAAATTTAGCGAAAGCGCATTTCGGTAGGGGATTTCCGCTCACGTGACCGGCCAGGGCCGCGGGCTTGTTCTCTACGAGCAATTATCCAAAAGCCAGGCTCACATGAAATCGACCCATATGCACACCCATGCATGGTGCTCGGGCAAACAAGTGGATTCATGCTGGACGAACAAGAGAAGAGAGAATCCAAGAGAAGCTGGCGAATTGTATATCGCGGCTCTGTGCGTGAATCATGTGCAGAAAGAAAGCTCCTCAGACGGTGTCTAATATTTGGTGTTGTGCGCGGCTATGTTTGGTGAACAAGGTGAAGTAGACAAGAGAGCTGAGACATGAATATTGACAGAATATAGTGGGCTGATTTGAAAGAGAGACATGCCATTTTCAACGAAAGGACCCTTCCAATCGGTCTCTCAAGTCCCGGCATTCACACCACTTCGCCTTCAGCCATAGGGTGTAGAAGACGACGTGCTCATCGACACATCACGTAGAGAAAAATAACCATACCGAAGGTTACATGACATGAGTGGACGTGAAAGTATGGCAAGTATGGGCGGACGTAGACCTGTGGGCGGCTGTACCGCAGTACAGGTCACGTGAACACAAACTGGAGTTTCTGGTGGTGATATTATCTGCTAGGTTCCAGGTGTGATTTAGCGCACATAATATTCTTCTCCCAGGGGGTCTGGAATCAATATAACAACGGAAAGTCGTTTAATGGAGCACGGCGCACTTCTGAGAGACATAGCAATTGCTCGCTTTAGTTGCCATGCCCGTATTATCGCTGAGACAGAACTCTGTGTGCCGTCTACTGCAGTGCGAGATGTGAGACCGGCATTTCTCAGGCACTCCGACAACAGTCCTTCGTGCGATTGATGTGTAGAGATCCCGGTCCCAGTGGTCGGAGACAGTCGTCCTACCCCCTTCTGATTCTCTATGTCAAACAAGCACAGTTCCGCGCCTTGACCCTTGCCACACCGAAGCGTGATACAAACCAACCTCGAATACCATACAGCTCCGCATAGTGAGCAATTCAAACATACGGGGCAGATAAACAAGGCTGTTGTGCCTACAGTCTTGTCCACAACTTGTACACTGGTTATGTACGCACAGTCGGTATGTCAAGGTTAAACAAGTGCTCTGGCCAAGACTAGCAAGCATTTACTTACTTGCACTACACTGAACGGCGCTGTTTGGTGCTCTTTGCACTCAAAGAAGACATCGCTTCCGCAAAAAAACACGTCATAATCCCATTGCAGCTCATGTTGGTTGCTATACTAGTGCGCTGTTGTTGTTGAACGCCTGCTACTCGGCACCACGTCAAGAAGTCGTCCCAAGATGTACAGTGATGTCGTATTCTGCCACACGAGGCATCCGACCCAACTGAACCAATTGCCGTGGCGCATTGCCTCCCACAGGCACCATCATTTGAGCAGGATGTAAGGGTGTACAGCCGTGCCGAGAGTTCGGAGATGCTGTGCATGAGGGGGAGCTCGATACTTGAGTGCACCAACAGCTCCATAATGCTTCTATGTATAGGTGTTTGTAACTATAGCAAGGACTATCACCTGAGCAGAGGGCGTCGAATGCAGCCTGATTTTGCCCATCTTTTTGGCGATTCAAGTCCCGCCCAAAATCATTTTGGTTTCATATATTTGCTCGTATACAACAACATCACATACCCGCTTTAGATGTGTCAAAAGACGCTGCACTATGGCGACCAGTCAGAAACTAGGGTTACCGGAAACATCCGAAACTGTATTTGTAGCAGTAATCTACATACCGGTAAATCTGAGCATTGAATCTCGTCGTTAAGGGACCGGGGATCGACCATGCACCTCCCATGTAATTTTTATCTCCTGCTCTACTCCGGTGATCCGGCCACCAGCCACATTTGTCTCCTTCCTGCAGTGGCGTTCTTTGTTGAAGCTACTGCTGAAACGTCTACCAAGCCTTCCACAAAGGCCTCTGCCAACAATGGGGCAAAGCAGCGAGCTGAATAGGGCTAAGCGGGCCATGTTTTACAAGTAGAGCAGATCTTGTCGGAGGAATGATGTCTTTCTTCCGATACAACGCAGCAGGTCGCTTCTCCAAGGGACACAAATGGAGCCCACAAGCGAGCATGTACTGGTAATGCTGCAGACAGTTGTCTTCAGACTACAGCTTTTACGTACTGAGCTTCTTGTTGGGCATCTTTCTGGATGCTCAAGAAACGAAGCAAATTGTTTGATAAACAACCGTTGGATTTTATTGCCCATCTGGGTAAAATGTTAGGGTGGCAGTAGACAAAGACCGTACATACGATACGAGCAGGTGCATTTCTGTCTCGAGTTGGCGAGGTTACAGTACAGCACAGTTTGATACACTACATGTCAAGATGTTCAATTGTTAGTCAAATCAAGACAGCCAGAATTGGTGTAGTTTATCGTCTTCATCAGTTATATGCCATGTCAACGAAGAATGTTTCAACTGAGAGGCTGCATTGCCCGAGATGCTACCCTGGTCACCCACTTGCAGAGGTTCATCTTGGCATGGTGTATGTATAGTATCTGTACAAGAGAGACAATCAATTCGTGTACAAGCACTTATATCAGGAATGCATTGAGCGGATATTATCGTGATCGGTATAATGCCCCGAGCTCAATTGGTAGTGCGGTAGTAGCGAGCCCAAATGTCCGGGCTAGACTGTGCATACAGCTGAGAAAAACAGCTGGAATGGGTGAATGTTCATGTGTTCACGTGGTACAGATACTGTTCATAGCAAGTATGAAGGAATAGACAATAGTGCTGTATCTAAGAATGATAGATAGCCAGAGTCTACCAAGAAACAGCGCTGGCACCCATGGACTCAATGAGGAATACTTCATTTATTGTCCGAAAGAGCCCGCCTTCTTCCTCCAACTCCGCTAAAATATCCCCGCCAAGTGATGGAGCGAAGCAAACAGAGCAAAGGGGGCTCGTTCAGGCTCGATCGGAACCTCGTCCTGGGCCTCAGCCATCTCCAAGTCTACACTGTCTATACCAGGATACGGCACCGTAAGGAAAATAGGCACATCCGAAATCTGGACACGGTGTGACGGTGGTATAAGATGCATGGTGTGGCGAGCCATATCCCAGAGATGACTGTTACCCATCTGATCTTGCACAAACATATGACCTGTCTTGCCGCTATCACAAAAGAAATCACAGCGACGTCTATTAGGGGCTCGATCAATCACTTGTAACCCGTCAAGACCCGCTTGCGCGAAACAAAGTGCGTTGTTGTCATCGGTGAAGAAGAAATAGCCGTCATACACTGAATTTGGCCGATGAGATGGAATACCAACCATCACTTGTCGAAGACCGTCCTCAGATACATACAGCAGGAGCTCCTTGTCCTCAGGGTACTCATACTCCAGGTCCCACTTGATGGTGTAAACAAACACGTGCTTGCCACAGTGAATCATCCGGTAGTCGTCGCAGTCAGGTAGATCGTATATGCGGGGATGATCTTCGTCTCTGTATTGCAGGAGAAGCTGTCCGAGAACATATTGAGTACATCTGTGACCGATGATTGTTGCAAAGAGTTGAGGGAGAGAGATGATATATTGAAAATCAGGTGCAGACCACATTTCCAGGCTCCCGAGGTTGACTCTGATTCCGTATTTCGATATGTACACATTGTCAGAGAACTTATGGGTGTTCCTGACTTTGATCATCTCCACATATCCATTCACAGATTGAACAGACGGTCCCATATCCTCAACAGGAAGACGTGTACTGACGTTATCAAGACAGGGAGCGAACTTCTTGCCACTCATTCGACGAAGATATTCAAATGTACACTCCTTAAACGTGTTGAAACGCGACGAGTCAGGATCAAACCAGGGACAAACTGCGGTCAGATGCAGTTTAAACTGGTCTTCGGTCACAGAACTTCTCAAAAAGGTATTTGTATGAGATAGGGCACATACCGAAGGGATATCTAGATGTGAGAGAATCTCGTGGATTATTTCTGGAGCAAGTGCGGAGAAGGGGTTAGATTGGGAGTCTGCATCTGCAATGCTTTTAAGTACCATTCCGACACTTGTCTTCTGTTCGCAGAAGTATCTCTGTTGGCGTGGAGGAGGACAGGATTTATATTGCAGTGTGGGGTTTAAGTTGGATCTACGTACAAGTAGGACTATGAAACAACAACGATAGTCTCGGTCACAGCAGTAACAGTGGCTCTAGAGAGGTGTAAATGAATGGATTATCTTCAAACATGCCAAAAAATTGTGATTAAAAACAAAAAGGGGGAAAATCCAGTTCTGTGAGACGTTTTTAGGAATCCAAGACCAACTGATCACTCAATAGTTAAGTCTACATGAATCTTATCTATACTCAACTATAGTTTAAACAAACAGAATAAATCAGTTGAGAAAACATGCCAGATTAGTTGAGCTCACCATAATGCGATACAAACCAGAGTAATACTAGTGATACAGACAACCTCAAGACAAGCCAACACCTCTACCATACACCACCAACTCATTACTGAATAAATAAATACTATATATTACATTGCCTACACCAACCAAGGCAGCTCAAACTCCACCTCCTCGAGCTCGGGAATAGGTCTTCCGAACGCCAGGGGTGCTCTTCGAGACCGACGCAACTTGAGCATGTCTTCAAACAAAGGCACAAGTTTGGGGTTCTCGAAGAAGGATACGAAAGGTGGCGGAGGAGGTGGTGTAGGGGGGGCAGTTCTCGCAGGAGTGCCCCTGGATGAAGTGTTCCTAGACGAAACCGGCTTTGAAACTCTAGACGTTTGTTTCTGAGGCACAGTTTTAGTGGCCATCAACTTCTTACCTCCCTTTGTCTTCCTAACAACAGCAGCCTCCTCTACCACCTCTTCTTCCTCCTCTTCATCGTCTTCGTCATCGTCGTCCTGGTTTTCAGCTTCTTTTTCTTCTAGTTCCTTTTCAATGTTGATAGCCCGGTGGTAGAAGATGCTGACCTTGTCCACCGCCTTTCTCGAGTTGTAGGGCTTTTCCACGTACAAATCCGTGTCTGCGTACTTGGGATCATTCAACATCGCCAAGGACAGCTCTTTTTTGCGTGCCAAGTACTGCTTTTCCCGCTCTTTGAACTGCTCGTACGACTTTACCATGAATCTGCACTCCTTTAGCGTCAATTCTCGTTTTCGTGCCAGCTCCTCCTTGTCTCCCATGTTGTGAATCTTGGTGATTCCAGCAATGTACCGCAACCACTCTCCACTCTCCAGCTGCTCCATCTGGGTGACTAGTCGGTCTTTTTCCTCCATGATCCTCGCCCGCTCCGTTGATTGTACTCGTTTTTCATCCCGTTCCATTCTCTTGTGATCTCCCTCATACAGAGAGTCAGGAAGTGGGTCTTCAAACCCTCCAGGCTCAGGGTCTTCATAGACATGCACAGAAGGATTGAGAGGTATACCAAACTGTTTCCCTCGTCGGAGAGCTCGATCGCGGTCTTTGGCTACCTTTTTGATCATTCCACAGCTGTTCTCTCTCATGCCAAGTTTCATAGTAATTGGAACGGCATCTGTCATGTCCACATCAAAGTCGAACAATAAGCTGTCATCTTTGTGTCGTTGTCGACGGCCCCGCTTGTCATCCCCATGCGAGTACTTGGATACGTCTTTTCCTCCTCCGATTCGAAGAACTTCTGATTTCATCGTGGGCATGTTGTGAGAAGCAGTTTGTGAGTCGGTTTTTGTGTCGATGATGTCAGTTTTCGGGCAATTAGTCTTGGATCCTTCTTCTGTGACATTTGACGTGTCGATATTGCTGTCTTCATGCTGACTGTGTCCTTCAGTGGACCCCTGGTGCCCCTCTCTGTTGTCGGCCTTTGGCCCACACATAGGGGCTGGAAACACTTCCTCGGTCGCCTCAATCTTCACAACCGGGTCTTTCGGCCCCAGCTTCAGATGTAACCTTTCCACCATGGCGTCGGTCTCGTTTTGCGTGAGATGTTGGCGATGTAACAAAGTTGTAGTGAGGAGGCGTACATGAGCCCAAGACGGGGGTTTATAAATGAGTCGATTCGGTGTTGTGGCCAAAAAAGGACCTTAGACAGACGGAGAGCCGTTGTTTCAAAAGGTTTAATCGCCCCATTTATTTTTTTATAATTTAGTGAAATTAATAAAAAATATTTCCATTAAAGGCAGATAAATCACCGGAAAATCCCAGCTTCAGGGTAACTCACCCCTAAAACACCCCCCTTCGCATGTCTCGACAAAATTAAACCTTAATTCTACACGGTTACACCACGCTGTGCATGTATAATGACGGACGTCCAACCACCTTGAAAAGTGAAGGGAGAAAACGACCCAGAATCGACATGGGCTCTTACAAGGAAAAACCACAGTTTATTGTGAGTATGAGAAAGGTTGAAGTCACGTGTGGAGTCACGTGTGGAGTCACGTGGACTGACAAAATGGACCTACGTGGAATGTGAGAGGGGGAGCATGATCTGGGGTTAAGACACTAGTACATCAGTCATGGGAGAGTGGATGGATCGGTTGTTGTTTTGATCTGGCCATTTTGATGTGGAGAAAGTGCTTTCTCGGAGGATTTGTGGTTCTTGGAATGGAACAGTCGCTTTTCTGATCTGGGACGAGGAAGGAATGACCTCATAAGTTGGTTGTTTCGACAACTGTGGGGAAATGGATTTGATTCGGGAATTATTGAGCGGTAGGGTATGCTGGTTATGGTCATTATCTATTCCAACCGGGTCTGGGTGAGTCGCGCTGTGTTGGCGGCAGCCAAAGCACTCACGCCAGAGACATTGATATTGCAATCTAGACGAGAGCACCAGTTCATAGTCTGTCGGTCATCCTTGATTCACCCTGAAAAGTTAACTCAATCGAGCTCGACCTATATGCTTCTAGTCTTCGACATACAACATTCACATGGTGATCCGCACGCTCCTCTGGACACATGGTCTAGTCCAGTCTCTCTCATGATATCTCCCAGTATTAGTTTCTACCATATCAATACGTTGGTTTGTCCTCAATTGTACTAACTCAGCTACAAGCACCGTGGATCCCTATAATATCCACATTGGGAACCGCGGCGTCCTACTTCCTCGCGTTTGTAGTTGGTTCCTTTCTGCATTTCCGCCACCATTCCGAGGAGGCCTTTCCCGGCCTCTCCAGCGTCATTGGTGGCAAGTATCCTGAGCGCAGCATTTTTCAGATCGGTATGGCAATCTTTCTTGGTGAGTTTTTTAAAGATTGAACGCTGATGGAGCACCCAGGGATTGGATGTGTTCTTGCTGTTAGACTGTCATTATGTGATACAGATCCCCCAGCATTGGTTCCCATACTAACAAATCCAGGCCCCCGAATTATTTCCACGCTCCTGTGGTCACAACTAGGAGCTACATCTGAAAACACCATTCTGTCTAACATTGGTCTGTTTGGCAGCCTGAAGATAATTTCTTCGATTTTCTTCACTTACGTGTCTATCGCTGATGACCCCGCTGTGCACCACTACGCCCTGGTGTTCTACGTGGCATCTACTGTGGCATGCATGTACGCCCAAACGGTGTACTCTGTGTGGAAGAAAAGCCCTGCCACCAAACCCCGAGCCATCACCTTTGGCCTGTACATGCTGTTGCTGATTGTGGTCACCAACTACTCTATCAAGCACATGCTGTATGAGGAGTCTGGAGCGTCCACCAAGCTCTCATTGGTCGAATGGATGCTTGTGGGTCTCGATGTTTCGTTCGACTACTATTCCACAGTCGACTTTGAGGGCATCAGACTGGAAGTTGCCAACCAGAAACGCATGGTTCATTTCATGGTGTAGCAGCTCTTGAACACACTATCTTTGAACACACACTACACTAATATCTAAAGGGGGAGAGGAATAAGCAAAGCAAGGGCGACGAAAAGGGACCACAAATGATCAAAAGTGACGAAGAAATACAGTTAATATACATGGAGTATTCAGGACAGGTGGTTGCGACGGATAGAAAAGGAAATGGTGTCATGCATCAAGTTTGCGGGATAGAAGGAACTACTGTGTTGATACGAGTGCTGTTTCTAGTTCGGGATCTTGATTGAAGGTCCACCATTACGAGTATCGTCTTGTTTATGAGAAATATACTGTCGAAGTATCAGTATGTACTTGGACTTCATTTAATGCTCAATGATCCGGTTATACTTCCAGAAGAGTCCGAGCATTCCCAGGTCATGGGCAGCTTCCAAGAGGCCCGTGATCAAGAACGCAAAGCCGAGAATATCTCGCTGGGCAAACATTCCAGTGAAGATGGGACCCACAGATCGGGCCAGAGTCTTGACCACGTTGACAATGCCCATAACCTTGGTTCGCTCAGAGGACGAGACCACATGGGACAGAAACGCTTGTCTGGGAACTACGTCCATGACAGCAGTGGATGCTCTGAAGAGAAGAAGGCCCATCGCAATTCCCATGGTAGGGGCCAGGGGGATGAAGGACATGGCCATTGCAGAGGGGAAATGGGTAGCCACAATGGCAAAGATCGGTCCCAGACGTTTGTACATGGACGAAGATGCCAGAGAGGAAAGAGCGTTGAGCACGCTGGTGAAGAAGAAGAGGGTGCCGACAGTGACTTCGCTTGCCTTCCATCGGTCGAAAAAATAGGTCACCACCCACGAGATGGGCATGAAGCCGTAGCCCATTGAATCCAGAGCAAAAAGAATGCATAGTTTCCACACAACTGATGTGCTCCTGGGACTGAGAGGTGTTCCCCAGATGGAGAATTTGGAACCATGGAGTTGATCAGCTTCGTGTTCGAGTTGGTGATAATGATCGTGGGTATCGAAAAGAAGACCAGCTTCGTGTTCTTCATTGTCATTGTTATCTGGGTCGATCTCACACTTATCTGTGAGAAACCAGTTGAGCATCAGTTTCAAAAATGCCAGCAGAGCGTACTGGGCAAACATGAACCGATACACCTTCAACTGCGTCCATCCGAAGTTTGCAACAAGTCCATCAATCATGATGCCCGCAGAAACGCTTCCAAGTGCACTTCCGACCGTGCCAAACAGCCCATACCAGGCGTAGATGTCGGAGAGCTCTTTGGCTGGAGTGAGATGGGCTACTACAGACTCCTCAATGGACTTGAAGGGACCCGTCTCGTCTCCAGAAGGGCTAATTACACCGACGATGGCTGCTATCAACAGCACTACAAAGTGGTCGGAAAATACAAAAACTATGCCGCTGACCATCATGAGAAACGAACCAAGGAGGAGCACAAGGCGCCGTCCAAGCTGGTCGGCGTACAATGTCAAAAAGTAGCTAATGATTACATCTCCAAGCAGAGTCAGGGTCATAAAGTACCCGAGACCAACGTCGGACACGTGTATTTCACGGAAAAACTGCACCAGAATCAAAGTACTCTGACCGTAGGCGATCATCCGCAGCACTTTTTGTGCAATGAGGATCTTGATGTCACATGAAGAGTTCACGAGCGAGTGCCATCCGATTTCCCGAATGAACCGGTCAAACCTGGACATTTCGTTCGTTTCAGAATCTCGAGACATGATTATTTGGAGACGAGAAAGGGGGATGTGTCTTAGTTTATATAGGGGATGGGGGAAGATAGGGGTAAGGTTGAGTTTGACGCAGTTATTTTTAGGTGCAAACAGCAACGTAGGGAGATGGGTGACACTTGTGGAAGAGGGAGTAGTAGGAGTGGAATTTGGTTGATTAATTTAGAATATAATACTGCTTTTTTCATCGTTTTCGGACATGTATTTGGTGTAATACACGCACCTGAAATGGTCCTCTTTTTCGGAGGTCAAACTGTCATCTGCAAGCTGTCAGAGGAACTGAGAGAGAACAGAGAGTGGTGAAAAGAGTCCAGTTAGTGAGATCAGAAGACACTGGCTGTTAGTTGAACTTGATCAACTCACCACATATAAAACTGTCTCAATAAGGTAGACACAATGTGTAGTCGGAGTCCGACCGAGAGTGATGTAGAGTTGGAGGATGCGCATGAGCTGCGAGACATTATCGGAGTCCGCCCGGGGAGTCGGAGTCCGATCGTGTGAGTAATTGGTAAAAATACTAGTGGGGACTACTTGTAGATGTTTCTGTTCGTCTTATTCTTTTCCGCAATGGAAATAGGCGGGCCATTGACACTAGACTTGATGCATAGGGATTCGGGGCTACAGTTTGCTCTATACATACCTATTCACTATATCACCGGGTACAGTTTGATCTCTATGTATTCATTCTGTTCAGCGGGTACAGTTTGATCTCTACCTATTCGCTCTATTAATAAATCCTCCTTCGGGTCAACAACGCTACGAGCGTTCGTAGTAGTTCCAAAGGTTTCCATTCACTGGAAGAGTCACACATTGTGTATGTGTGTGTGTGTTGAAATTAATGGAGATTCAGTGAGCTGACATCGTTTCTGGCAGTTATTCTAGTCAATCCACTAGTTATGGTGACTGCGAAGGAAGTGTTACATGGTATGTACTACATGGTAGATCGTTACAATTTACGCACTCGACAAAGGACACATTCACGCAGTCCAAACCGCAATCAAATAACAGCATTCTGGAACCTCTTTGAAGTAGATAACTCAAGTATCATTGCTTACAACATCGCAATTCACTATGCCCACAGACAAGGTTCAGATAAGGCACGGGGCTGCATTATCGAAACTTAGAAATGTTAGGCGAAGTATACACGGTCCTCGTGGACATTACCGACTGATCGTGTGGAAAGTTGGAATCAATAGTACTGGAAAGTGCTTTCTAAACCCTCCCAGGGTGGTCTTTCCGTCGACTGCTGTTCACAAGGACATGAGACCCAGTTGAGTGCCTGAAACTAATGTAGCGATATTCTACGAGAACAAGTTTCTACGATAACAAGTAGTTCTACAACCAAGCCTTTGGTGCCGTCGAATCACTCCCTTTCCACCCACGCACTTTTCCTATTTGTGTGAAGCGTGAATACTACATCCCACCTTCAGGCCGACAAATTCCTCTCTAATGAACCCCTCAATGAACCACTATCTGCGCACATATCGGTCTGTGACCGCGCTGTGACTACATTGGCACTCTGAAATGTCTATTAAATGTCCTACTAAGCTCTACTCTACATCTTACAGTACAGAAACCCCTCCATGTCCGCACCTTCTAGAACTTCACTTAGGGTCCCCTACTGTAGTACAGTATGTACAGTACGGTAGAATCCTACAAACTCATTAAGACTCAGCCGTAAAAGTGGTTCGAAATCTCCATACTGTTCTTCAACACTGCTATGTCACATGGTCCAAAACAGCAGCTGTATCCTCTGGGAAACGCAGTGTTGTGAGATGTTGGTGATGCCGCAGCGTCAAGAGCTATCTCAAATGCGTGGCGATCGCTTTTCCATTCACGGTACTTCTGGATGTTGCACTGGAAAGTAGCAAACTTTTATATCGTGTTTTCGAAGTATGTAAAGACCTTCCAGTTCTCCTTCTTCGCTGAGACAGAAACTCCCATATCCAGTGGTCCCATGACAGGATTCGGGGGAGGGTTCAGTCTGCTGAGATGGGTTTCGGGATACGGTAAAACGATCTGAAGAGCTCTACAGTAAGCCTCAGTAGACTCTCTCAGAGCCACCCAAAAAAACCAAGTTACAGGATGGAAATATAAGGAAGACCACACTCGGAAACATTCCGTTCTCAATTGGGGACATTGCCATGGTATATTCCCGTTTAATGGATTTGATAGCGACAGTTGCGCTGTCTTTTGGGCTATTATTTCCATGGTCGTTTTTTTAACCAAGACGGGGGTCTTGAGGCCCAGCTCTTGACCCTCGAGCTTTCCGGCAGTGTGTTTGTAGCAGAATGAAGTCCCTTGCAAGACCCATTCTATTCAACTGTCTCTGTTCGCAGTGATGGTAGAAACAGCAACGCCAAAGATAAATACACCTCAAGGAGACAGGTCGCTTCGTGTCAATACAGTCCCGGTACAATTTTTTATAATCCAAGTAATTTCTTCCTCTGCCCTCCTCATCCTAATCTCGGTCAACAGATAAGAAGGAGTTCCAGGCATTATTGCCTCAGGACTAGAAGGATGACCCATTCGAGACACGTTTCAGGGTATTCGATGAGCGACTGGAGTTCATTGGTAATGTCTCAGCACGATACTTGACTAAACTGAGCCCCTTTGACATGAATTGTGAGACAAGGGAATAGTTGTTTAGAGATTCAACTAGTTTCGCTTGAAACTACTTGGTGTTTCGTTTGGAATACTTGACGGCGTTTATCAAGTCGTTGGAATCAGCTTTTATCAAGTCGATTGTTACTTGATCAATACTCACGAATTCGACTGAGTCAGCTTTTATGAGATCAACTGTCTCAGCTTTTATTCGCCCACTATGTATATCTCAGGTCCCTTCCCACTGCTCCCTAACCAATAACACGACTGCTGGAACTGAACAGAGGCGATAAAAGCATTACGGGTAACATGGAAAGAACACGTACAGTATTATGGACATTATTTCCCTGGTATTCCCAGGTTTGGCGACTTTGGCGGGGCATTTGACCCCTATTTCACCTTCCAACATTGCAGTTAGTCAGCAATATATCCTAGTTCATATCACCACGAGCACGGTCAAGACACCGAGAATGATTTGGTTGCTCTTGTTTGTGTATTAGTGGCCTCTTGTACATCATCCGTATTCACATCATCCGCGTTTACATCATCCGTGTTTACATCACCATGTGCTGAAGTAGACGTGGCGAGATGCTTGAAAACTTCCAGTCAGAGTCCTGACGACGAAAAGGTCTTGCTCTATCCAGAGTCTAATAGTAATTTGCTAAGCACAGTGCGCTTTCCCGTAAAGCCCTGGCCAGTTTCTTTCATTCTCCTCCTTCCAGTACGCCTTATATACCAATTATGTACATTCATCAGGTGCAATCAACAAGCCCAGGAAACAATACTAACCATCCCAAGCACTCTCCAGCACTTTTCAGCACCCTTTAACACTCTTCAGCACTCTTCAGCACTCTTCAGCACTTTTGGGCTCAAAATTGGAGTTCAATTCTCGATCTAATCGCGCCTAAACTGTACAGTAGATCGTTTCCTGTCGTCCTCGTCACTACGTTGAACGTCAACTCGATGTATTTATATCCAAGCTCAAACGATAATATTATTCCTCTGTGTTTCTGCGGATCGTCAGCTCTTCCAATTTCTTGGTCATGTCAACCACCGTGGACACAACATCACCGGGCAGGTACACGCAAGATGGATATGCTTGTCCAGACTATAGGAATGTGAAGCCAAGCCTGCAGTAACGCCCGGGAAGCAGGAAGAGGCTGTTGAGACTCGAATGAAAGCATTGGACGAACGACTTGAGTCCATCGAGTCTTGCCTCAACACCATCATCAACCAGAGCGAGCCATGGCCCCTCCTCAAGTCACTCTACTACTGGCTCTGCAAGTTTGACAGAGTCCAAACTGTCGCACTACGGTTGACTGCTTAGTTTACTGCTGGAATTGCGTGCATTACTGTTCCTTTCTCACTTACAGAGGAGTAGCGGGATTCGTCCTATTCATCCTTGGCAACACCACTTTCCGGGATCATCTTCTTGTACTGGATCTAAGTGGCCTTGCTCCACAGAAAGAAGGAGAATGCCAAGATTGAAGGCAGTGCTGAGGGATGCCATTTGGGTAGACCTTGAGGGACTTGTATGTTTTTACCAAATGCTGGCGATTTAACTCGTCGTAGGTCCTCTCGCTTCTCAATTTCACTCTCAACCAAACTTCATAACTAATTTAACCAGTATCAACAAACTTTGTGCCGTATTGTCTAATTAGTGAAAACAATAGTTTAAGAAATAGTTAGCATGTATATGCAGAATAATAGTTAGCTTCAACCTGGCTCCTTTCCGCGGCATTATCGTATTTGGACCCCGACCATAAGACAATGTCCAGACGCCAACTTGATACTGATTGTAGTTCGACCTTTGAGACATTTTTTCATCCATGTCCATCGCTTTCGTGGACTCCTTCTAGTTGCTGTCTATCTTGGTTATATAAATAGTAAATATTCGCTACAGAGTTTGGTGTGTTATAAAAACAAAATTAAAATTAAAATCAGAACCATTCGCTCGTCTTTAACTAATCAATTATCTCTGAAATTGAAGCCATGCCTAGATATCACGACTGGGCACGTGAATGGACACGTGACTGGACACGTGACTGGTGTATTGTTTTTCCCGCTTTTTTGATCGTAATACTGGTACCAACAACGCCCTCGCTGCTGGTAATGACGTCGCAGCACAATCCCTTCAGAAAGAAAAGCAGTAGATGCACCGAACACTGTTTCTGGGGTGTGATGCATTGATTAGGTGGATAAAAAAAATGTGCAAAAAATGTCAGAAAGTAAATATAACGGATTAATGACCGTTTGAAGTCGCAGTTAACACGTCGTGAATTATCGGCCAGTCGTGATATGTTCTTTCTTCGATCCGAAGGAAGTACAGTTCTCTTGGTACCCTTTTTTTTGTTGTTTTTTTTTTTTTGTTCCTAGAGAACTTTTTAATTTTGATTCTTTTACTATCATCAAAGTTGGGGGGCTGTACACTGACTGAGACACCAACGGATGGTCAAATCCGCAGGGAGAGTGCAATACAGAAACCTGAGCTGACGAAATCGGTCACATGACGCGATAGCAGCATCAATCAGCATCGACAGCAGACATGGGTAGGGCAGGTGACCTCGTGATGACTGTCTCCACGGGTCTTATCTATGCTCTGTCTAGTGCCGCCTTTAAGTTAACATACGAGCTGGGCTGTGTACTGAGAGCTTAGGAGTGGAGAGACATGTGGCACTCGTGGTTGTTTGAGGGCGGTTTCTTGAAGAAAGTGGATAGATTAAGGAGTCGGAATGAGCGAGAAATAACTGCAGAGTGTTTTCCACCCCCTCCACCCATTCAGCATCTTTCCTGCCCCCTTCTTTTCTCGGTTGGAGTAAGTTCGGTCGTGCCGTGCCCTGCTTCATAGTCGACAGTGTCTGAGACATCTCGGCTATTAATTGGGAGGTGTGTGTCTGTCAACGAGCAACCCACACGCGACAACTGAACTTGTCTTCCTTCTTTCCACTCCTCCAACTCACTCCCACTCAGTTCTGCACCTCTGCCATCTTCCGACATGGACAAAACCGACTTTGACGCCCGATTAGCAGCCATTGAAACTCGTCTGGACACCATTGTCCAGATTCTGGAGAAGTCACAGCACCCCAAGGAGCACTCGCTGCTGGAGCTTGCAGGCGGAATACTCATCTTCCTGGGCCTAGTGGCTCTGGTGGTCTATGGCATGGTCACTCTCGAACGGTACCAGAAGAAATGGGCTGAAAACCGTTCCAAGCTTCCGAACTGAAGAAGCAGCAGTCGAACACCCAGACTTTGGTTCTACATCTACTTCTAGCTGGAAGCAGATGTAAGACTTCTTTATTTAATCACATAATGAACACATGCTAACCCCTGTGTGGAGCGAATCGTCTCATTAGTCATTATCAGACCACAACACGGCGTGGATATGACATGTAGGTAACAACTCCTTCACGAACCCCGTCTTCCTTCTCTGTACAGCGTTAGTACATCTCATTTTTCAGCGGTCTGGGCATGTTGTGCTGTCGAACAAACTACCGTAAGGCTCGTGATTGACATGTAGTCAATAAATGTCAGAGATTTCACAGGTGACCAGTACCAGTGTTGGTATAACAATTGCCATAGGGAAGGTAGATGCCGGGTAGATGACGGGTAGATGACGGGTAGATAACAGGTTAAAAGCTGTGAACTAACCCTTCTCTGTTTAACGTGGTGGAGAAGTCGTGGTTGAATGTGACAGCACCCGATTCTCTTGTCTGGTTCGAGGCGGATTGCGCCGATTCTGGCTTCAGGAATGCCGTGCTCTGAGAAATCATTTTGTTGTCAAGTGCCAGTCGCGTAGATTTCGGAGGTTGAAGAAACTTGATCTCAAGCCACAGCGTGTTATGTTTGAACATTGAGGGTCATGGTGATACACCCATCGGGTTTTATTCCATCACAAGCCCTGTATCGTATTTTCCAACACCATAGTGTTCGTGTCAGTGTTGGAAGAGGAAGTGTTGTGCGGATATGTCTGAGGATATGATCTGGTAATACTAATTAGTTTCCAGGCTCTACTAGACTCTCAAATCAGTCCAAACTGGGACTTGATGGTACTCATAGTTGTACCTAATAGCAGCAACTTTTCGATAATTCCAACCCGACTATTCGTATCCCAATTGCACCTTCACCCATCCCACCACGGTCTCTTTTCTGATTACGAAATTTAAGAATGAAATTTCAGCTTAATTAAGGTAAAAAGTAAAAGAAAAATAATTTAAACTTAAAAATAATTAAAAATAATAAAATATAAATTAAATTAAATTAAATTAAATTAAATTAATAAAAATAAATAAAAAACAACAACCCAATCTATAATTGTAGCCATTGTTGGTGTAAACAGACATTGCTCCCTACTTCCAGCTCTCATTCAGTAGTTATTCCTGAAACAAGGACATACAAAAAACCCTTTCTCCATGCGGCGTAATGCACGAATTATTATACTTGTGATCACTACCACACGCGTTTCGAAGATACTGTACGTTCGGTGCGTGCTTTGTGCCGGTGACAATCATGGAAGCAACCGAAATACGACTGCTGATACTGCAGGAAGAGCCTCTTGATACCCTTGTTGCATTGAATGAGACTTGTCGTAGCTGGCGGTCGTTCATGTTGGCCCATGACGAGTCTCTGGTGCGTCCAAAAGTCCTTCAACGTGTTCCCTGGATGGAGCTCGTGCCTGAAGTGGGTATGGGCTCTTGGATGGACTGTGCACGTTTGATAGTGGCTAGAAGGCGATCTCTAACCAAAGAACCTGACAAATGGTGGAGATTCAATGAAAGGCAAGCAACTGAAAACTACTGTCTTCATGAGCTGATGAGGAACACAGATATTGGTTATTTGCCAGCGGAAAACATTGATGGAGGTACACTACCTGACACTTTTGAGCCTCTATTTGAGTCTGAGATGGCCCATGTCCAGGGCAAGTACTTTCTGAGTCCCAGGGGTAAAGTGCTGGATATGACAACGATAAAACTTGTTGGTGAGCCTATTGAGAGAAAAAGAGCCACTGTCTACAGTTCTCTTTTTGCAATGGACGCTGCTAAAACAGACGGGCTGGCGGACCAAGTGTCCCCGTTCGGGTGTCACTGTGGAGAGCAAGGTCCCTTTCAAAGTCAGACAACAGAAGGATGACATGTTGGTGATCTCCGATACTGAGAGTGGAAAGACGTACATTGTTAAAGATGCGTTTCTGGAGAGTTCCAATTTCGTGTTTGATCCTGAAAGCGCCAAATGTGTTCATTTCCCTCAGTATCAACCTACCTACGACCTTGCAATGACCCCAGGCTGGAAAGGAGTCATCTGTATAGAAGATATATTTTTTGAGAGAGGGCCAGGAGCTCAAGTCAAGTTGTATTATTGTGATTTGGCTGACAAAGACTCTGACAGGATTCTTCTCTGTAAGTTTCCGAGACCTAACAACGAGGATATTTCCACAGTTATCTTCTATGCAGGAATGATGTTTCTGAATGTCAATATTTCTGCTATGGTTCCGTTATGGATAGACCTAGAGCGGTTTCAGGATACAAGTCACGCGTTTCTCGGAAACAAATACTGTTGGAGAACTGTTTTGATGAGAACCGGGTCTCACATTCACTACTCATGCATGGACAAATGGTACGACATGATTAGGTCGAGTGACGAAAGATGGGTGAGCAGCTGGTTCGGCAGACAAGTTGGCGACCTTTGGACGTTTAAAACTTACAGTGTTGGTGACCCGGGCTTGCACACTTGTGCTCCCTGTCCACATTTCCACCCCTTGGCCTCCACCATTTTCGTGGGACGAAGCGCTGCCAACCAACCAATCTTTTACACGGTCACAAAGCCACTGCTGGAGACTCTCGACTCGTTCTTGTACGGAAAGAGGTTCAACCAAAACGGCTTTCCGGGTGGATCTGTTAAAACAGATCCCTCCAAGTTTTGGAAGAAGGTCATCCAAGAGTACGACAAGAATCCCTTTTTGGCCTTCACGCAGTTTGGGGATAAACGGAGGCATTTTGTGAGCGACCAGAGCCTGACCAGCGAACGTTTGGAGGATCCTATTGGTCTTTCGTGGTTGGAGGAATGGGGTTGTCAGTGAGAGACTACATTTGGCTGTTGAGCAAGTACATACCTTACTGTACTGAGCTTGAAAGCGGGGTGTATTTTTGTCTTTATCTTTGCTTCTGATTGTTTCCTTCTTATTAACAAATTCAGAAAGAGAGGACAATATAGAGGGGGAGGTGTAGAATGTACTGGTTAAGCCGATCAGACATCTAGTGACTCTTTGGCAACCAAACATGTATTTATAAGGACCTTGATCTCTTGATGGAAAGCTCAGTACAGTACATACTATCGTCAGACAATACTGCTACTGGGGGGGTGTCTGATCTATACCTATCAAGAATCTGTTGAACTGCCCTCATCTTCTCTCGGGCTTCTGGATTCTTCTAACCTTGTGATGTTGATAAAAGAACAGTGTGGCCCCTGTTCCGCACTCCAAAAATGTTACAGAGGACCCTGAACAGGTTGAATATCACTTTTATCAGTATAGAGAGCCTGAGCAAAGCCTAGCTTGTAGTCCTCCAAGTCGAACACTGCGTATGCGTTTCGGAGAAACGAGTCGCCCAGAATACTGATGCCGTCATAGGTTTCGCTGGAAACCAAACCAAAGTAGCAGCCGGTATCACTTTGGTTGCCTGACAGGCGCGAAATGGGAACCACCATGGTCTCTGGGTGTGCATGGATAGTTCCGTTGGGCAGGTTGAAACTGATGGACGGCTCGGCGTTGCAATCGATGGTGTACACCCCCAGATCAGGTATCCAGGAGCCCACCTGGACCGTGCGAGTAAGATGCTGGAACACGTCGTCGGGGATCAGGGTAGCTACCGACCCAGTGTCTACGGCAAATGAGCTGTAGAGAGAAAAGTTGACGCCATTAACAGAAAAGTCGTCGACAAGAATGGAGGCCCCTCTAGAGGGGTCAGGAACTTTGTTCCATGCGAGGTCTCCGGAGAACTTGGCGTGGTCGATTCCTCCTAGCAGAAAGGTGACTTCACTCGAGCTTGCAGAAGGGGAGAAGATTGAGAAAACTGCTCTGTCAATGTATCCCTGCTGCTTAGAAGCGAACACAAAGTTGGGATAGGTCTCTCCATCGTCGGCGGAGCTTTCCTGCTCTTCGAAGGAGACTCCAAAGATGCCTCCATCTTCGGTTTGCACGGTTCCAAATGAAAACTGGGGCAGGGTAACAGACCCCACAGTGAGGGTATCGGAGACCCAGTTTCCTCTATTGTTGGGATCACCAATGTAACCAACATCAAAGTTGTTGTTTAGCAAGCTGTAGGTGGAAGAGGCGTCGGCGTCGAAAGCTCCCGCAGTAGCTGGACATTGGCCACTGCACTGTTGGTCTGGGGCAGTTGGGACCCACAGATCCGCTGATCCAGTGTCGAAGGTGACTTCAAACTTCTGTGGGGGGGTCCCCAGAGTGATGTTGGTGTACAAGTACCGATCGGTCTTTCCATCAGCAGCCCTGATGGTTTCGTACTTCGAGGCCAGTGAGTAAGACACAACCTTGGGGGAAGTTGGAGCAGCTACTGCTAGAGCAGACAGCAAAAGAAGGGAATAGGTCAACATCGTTGATTGGAAACTTCTCCATTTTTGCGCGAATGGAGCATTATTTATAACGCTGAAGCGAACGGCATCAACTCTATCCACGATGGTGAAGCTATGGTCGAACTGTATCCACCCATATCGTGAACTTTCAGCGTAGCACTCAGAGTAGTGCGATAACAGTGTGAGTTGAGTGCGAGATAGCTGGACGTTTTCGGTGCCGCGGTTGATTTTTATCACCTGGTAGATACCCCACCGATTTTTTGAGTAGTTTGGCTAAGACTTAACAAACTTGGTTACAGCTTGACAGACTATTACTTAGACATATATCTGATTCTTATCTAAAATAGTCAAAATGAGCTGACTACAGTTAAGCCAGTATCGAATGTACTACTGTATTTGACAAGACATGTCAACACGTTCTAAGGAATGCAAGATGTAAATTACATTGTTCATTGCAACCAATTCTTTTCACAATCTCCCACAGAATCATGGGCTACTTATATCTACAGTATACGCCGTTATTATCGTCCAACTCTCTACACTCTTTCTCCTTACAGTGTGATACAGAACGACTACCGTGACAGTCGTGCACAGATGAGTCGAGCAAGGCTACAGGTATATTATTTGTACAACAGTTTCTCCTGACTGGTTACTTTTCTACAAAGATGTTTCTGATTGGTTACTCTTGTTCACACTCCGTTCAACCCCCAAAGAAGTCCAGCTGTACCCGGTAGCGTAGTACCTGGCTGATTCCTCACATAATGATAAGTCATTACATAGTGATTAGAGGAACCTGCTTGGTCGTAGACGAGATGTCGATCCTATAGATAGTTTTATCCACTGATCTAGATTCTCTCCTCTGGTGAGTGAGCACTGTGCTACTATCGGAACGTGGTGTCCCTAGAAGTGGGTTGTAAGTTGTTACATTAACTATATCTAATCAATAATACTTATGATCTTCAATATGAACAGTATGCTGCTGAGCTTGCATTCGATACAAAGATTGTTCTCGTAAATGAAGTAATAGTTCTTCGAATGTATGAGAAAAATGTTTAACGGAGCACAAATCACTTTGTAATAGATTGCTTAGATGCTTCGTATCTTTTATAATTGCTGAGGGTGGGTGATCAACCGAGCTTTCTTTTATTTTTTTATTTTTTTATTTTTTTATTTTTTTTCAATACATTTTTTTCCTTTTCTTTTTCTTTTTTATTTTTTTTTTGAAAAATCAAATCTTACTTCTGTATACGGTATTCCAAGATCGCCGTGCTGAACTCGTTGTGCGTATGTAAGAACAAACAAAGCTCCTGGAAAGAACAATTTTGCGATCTCCCTTGCAGGAGCGAGCTTTTATCTTTGAAAAAGTACATTCATCTCAACTTTTTCCACTTTTCTCATGTATGTTAACCGCGCTTTGTTACTGGAAACTGTCGAGAAGAGGGATGAAAGATCTTATCTAATATCCGCCAAATCATCTTACATAAACATTGGCCATTTTCTGCCCGTTCTACGCTTATTCGACCACTAAAAAGCCACAGAGAGACATGTCGATCAATATATAAATACCAAGAACACCGCTGGAAGCAATCCGATTGTCGACACACGAACGGCACAGCTCACGTGACCGATTTTTGTCAGAAAGATCTGCACTCTCCCGGCTCTTCCGGTAAAAACTGCAAAAAAAACAGTGAAAACTTGGCACCCGAATGAAAGCTTCAAAATCGAGAGAATTTCGACGAAAGTGAAGAAAGAAAAAAACTAACTAACCAATAGCCTGATCCTCCTCTTCTTTCTCTCTGTTTTTATACCATACACGAACCATTTCGTCTCGGAAGATCCCCTCTGCCTTCCGAAGAAAGTTCGGCGATCAAATTGATAATCATTGCATCAACTCTAATCAGATGCACTTGTAGAAATACGACACATAATGGTAGAAAAGTTTTCATATTTGCATGAAGCAGATTAAATGCAGGTAGCAGTACAAGTACAATACCCAGAAGAGAGATTTGTCCAGTTTAAATATCTCTCATATGCACCTTCGGTAGCCGTAGAGCTATGTACATGACACCAAACTCTTAGTAACATGTACCATTGGACTCCTGAGACTCAGCTGATCCTTTTGGTACCATACATGACCTACTTTTATGAACGTGGAACCAGAGGGAACTACACAGCTCACATCTATCTTGCATCCAATAAACTTACCCTACCTCAGCTAAAGTTGCACTAACAACCGAGGGTGGAAACATGAGAAGCTGTGAACAATGCGACGGTAACCGGAATAGGCAGCAATTAGACCTAGAACTAGCGCGTCTCACATGGTTCTCATGTTCCTAGATTCGCGTCTGCTCCATTTGGTGAAGTTACATGGTGGGCAGATTCCCTAAACGAGATGCTAAGATGCTACGTTGGCTACAAAGACAGTGAACATCATATGATGGTATTAAATTGTTTCCCCGAATCAATCTCTTTCTTCTTACTATGCCCTTGTCTTTGTAGGTCTTGATCGCACCATTCTATGTTCATTCTAAGAGTCCCACTAAAGACGTACTTAACCACCCTCCCAGACTAACTAGAGCGTCGTGAGTGGTGCCAGTACTCTCTTGACCTGGTCTAAGACTCCCGTCAACTTCCTTTTTCATCTCTAGCCCCCTCTCAAACCCCCGAGACAACTACCAGTGGCTACAGGGGTAGTGCGTTGTCTCCGCTTTCGACTAGCTTGGTCAATTATAGGCCAAATCGAAGACTGTTTTTTTCAAGAACAATTCCCACACCTCAGAGAGTCCATTTCTATATCTTTCGTGTAACTACAATCTCTTTCCTCATCCAAATTACTCAGTTTCCGCAAATTTCTCGATTTTCTTGGACTCAAAAGTCAGGTTCGTCATACCAGCCGAGTCCCGCCATTATAATGAGCCAACCAAATCAACCCTGCATACCCCTTGCCTTGAACTGGCAGCTCCAAACCCCGTTTTGGACCGTCTATTCCCCTCCTGGCTGCATGTCGCTTAGATAAGCGGAAGTTTAATGTCTCTCATAATCTCATTCATGCGAGATAACGACAGCGGTTGGAGAGCGCAATTCAGACATAATTGGAGAGAAAAACGTACTTCCAAACTCCTAACTACTCCAAAAAAACCATGCCGCAACTTGTAAATCAATTGCACCAACAAATGTCGATTAAAATACAAAAAGATACCCTAACTCGACAAATACTGAAGCCACCGAAATTTCAAACCCATTATTGAGACCACCCGATCGCCATCAACTCTATGATACCAAATACGCTCCCGTCCATTAGTCATCAGCCATCATTATGTTTTTTCTTTCTTGATTCCGCTTACATAAGCATCGACATATATTAAGGTTTCGGCTGTGAGATGGAGGGTAATGCCTCATTAGCGCCGCTGCAGCGAGCCTCACAAGAGACAGAGAGACAGGGGAGGCGCTCGGATGTCGTCACGTGACTGTTTGGTATGTAAGCCGGCCAAGTCCGGGTTGATTTCTGGCATGTGTCGATCTCCAGCGGCGGCTGGGTCTTGCTGGCCTGTTCCCCCTCAAAATACCCTAACCCTTGGAATTAACCTCTGCAGCAGTGGGACACGCCAGCGCACGATACGTTAGCACGGTGACGATATTGTTTTAGTGACGGGCATTGCAACAGCTACAGACCGATTTTTTTGACATTTGAATTTGAGAGACGAACGTGACACCGCCTCTTGGACGATACGCGACAGTTTACACAAAGGACTTTTCTACACACCACCTATGGCATCTCTACCTAACAGAAGCACGGTTTCCAAGGGCAAGTACTCGTTGACGGACTTCTCCATCCAGCGAACGCTTGGAACGGGTTCGTTCGGCCGGGTGCATCTGGTTCGGTCGGTGCACAACAACCGGTACTACGCCATCAAGGTGCTGAAAAAGGCGCAGATTGTGAAGATGAAGCAGGTGGAGCACACCAACGACGAGCGGCGGATGCTCAAGCTGGTGGAGCACCCATTTCTGATCAGAATGTGGGGGACGTTCCAGGACTCCAAAAACCTGTTCATGGTGATGGACTACGTGGAGGGAGGCGAGCTGTTCTCGCTGCTGCGAAAGAGCCAGCGGTTCCCCAACCCCGTGGCCAAGTTTTATGCGGCAGAAGTCACCCTCGCCCTCGAGTACCTGCACTCCCACAACATCATCTACCGAGACCTCAAGCCCGAAAACATTTTGCTAGACAAGAACGGTCACATCAAAATCACGGACTTTGGGTTCGCCAAAGAGGTCCGCGACGTGACCTGGACGCTGTGTGGCACGCCAGATTACATTGCGCCCGAGGTGGTCACCACAAAGGCGTACAACAAGTCTGTGGACTGGTGGTCGCTCGGAATCCTCATTTATGAAATGCTCACCGGCTACACGCCCTTCTACGACCACACGCCCATGAAGACGTATGAGAACATTCTCATGGGTCATGTGCGGTACCCTTCGTACCTGCATCCGGATGTGACTGATTTGCTGACCAAACTCATCACCAAGGACCTCACCCGACGATATGGTAACCTGCAGGGCGGCCCACAGGACGTGAAGAACCACCCGTGGTTCTCCGAGGTCATTTGGGAGAAGTTGTTGTCCAAGGATATCGAGACTCCGTATGAGCCTCCCATTCAGAGTGGAGTGGGCGACACGTCGTTGTTTGACAGTTACCCGGAGGAGGAGCTGGACTATGGAATTGTATGTCCGGACCCGTATGGAAAGTTGTTTGGCGATTTCTAGACGACCAACAGCCGACGAACGGGAGATTGAATCTGAAGAATGCAGGTTTACTGTTGATCGACTGTTTGTCGCAGTGGGTCCCACCAGTTGTTGTTAACTCGATGACTGTCTTCCAGGAACTGTATGGAACACGAAGCCGTGACTGGTCAGTCTCAACAGCTGGAGCAAAGGTTATGTAAGGAATGTATGTATAGAAGTATTAGGGAGAGGGGGGGGAGTGTTTGGGTCTGATTGCGGTTGTTGGAAATAGATGTTGGATAGATTCAATTGGGGGAGTATTGTGAGTCAATTGCAACTGTTCGTCCCTTGAGACCGATTCCGAACACATTGATGATGGGCGGGATCTGTGACACGACTCCATGGTGTAGTCTGTGACAGTCTGTTGAAGCAACCGTTGTTGTAATGGATACGGGACCGCATGTGTAAGGATCCAGTGTCTGCAACCTTCTGGGGAGGAGATCTCCACTTGTCGGACGTGGTTCTGTCCTCATAGAAGGATCCAACCAGGGTTTTCATCGTCGGTTCACGCTCCATTCTCTGGTTCCTTACTCTGTGGGGACACATCTGTGTATATAAGCGTATCGAGAATCTCACCGGCCACTCCTGGAGATCGAGAGCTCCAGACTCAGTCATATTGTGTCGCCTAAACTGCACATGTATGCCTGGATAACAAGACCACCAACAGGAATCAGAGCCATCGAAAAAGCGCCGGGAAGAAGTCACTGAACGCAGCAAATCAACAATCACGCCATTAATCAGGTTGCACTTGCGAGGACTAAGGTCTTCATAAGGCCACACACAAGCACACAAGCCAGCGGAGGTCTGGATTGAAACAAGTATGTTTGTAGCGGTGAACTGGGACGGCCAGTCATCTCATGGACGCTAAATTTATAATAAATATAATGTAGGCACCAGGCTGGTTCTATATTTGTGCCTACAACTGCTTCAGTACGTGAGTTAGATGGATCTAAATTACTTGAAGATTACTTGAAGAAAAGTTTCCGGGAGAGCAGGGCAGGAGATAATGGGAAGTCAGAGACGGGCGAAGAGAAATTTACAAATCGAAACATATTCTCCATAATTCCCATCATGACATGATAATTTTTCAATGTCAATGTCGATTTACTGGAACTTACTCTGATGTTTTTTTCTTTTTCGTTTTTCATTCTGAAATGTGTAAAATTACTTAGATTTTGTTAAAACTGAACGACAACGTGCGTACAGGGCCTACCGTGATTGGCGCAGTGGAAGGTCCTGTCTGGTCCGGGTGTTCAATGAGCGTCCTCGTCTTTCCCGTCCTTCGAGGTCCAAATTCTGGTCACATCAGACCGAGATGTACGATGTTTGGACCACCAGTTTCTTTCCTCGCTTAAATGATGATAACGATGTATTTTAATCGAATGTATTGAAAAAAAAAAATAGAACAAAAAAGAAAAAAAATAGAACAAAAAAAAAAAAGAAAAAAAGACTCCGATCGGAGAATCACTCAATTCGTCAAATATGGGTCTGGTTTGAGCAATAAAAATTGGTCTTATGTATTCATTATCTCATGACTCGAATAACTCGCAATAATCCGCACAAAACCAACTCGATGAATATGAGCCAGAATCACATCATAATTTATCGAGCCGAATATAATGGGTCCAAAAATCAAATGTCTCTGTATAAATCACCTGGAAGATCTCAACCTGAAACAATAACCAAAGCTTCAAAGAGAAATTTGTCTCATAGAAACTAGTCTCCACCCCTCTACAAGTAGGAACACTCCAAAATGAGGAACCCTTCCACAGCTCTAGCTCTGGATCACACTGGAACTGACCCTACTCAGGTTCGGGTCACATGAAGTTCAATCCCTCCAAGCGACATTCACTGACCGCTACCACCACTCTCCCTCTAGTTTCTTACTGACTTGCTCTGAATCTCTTCTGACAGGGCTCCTTCCTCACGTGACAAATGCGGTCTGCTGTCATTCCATCGCATATCCTTTCCGTGGCATCGCATCCGACGGTTACATCGTTTCCGGACCCTCTAATTTAGTGTCTTTTAGCGGTTTTACTAGGGCTATGGGTGAGGGTTTTATGGGAATTTGAAACTGAGCTAAGAGGTGGAGTATTGGGGATATCGACTAAATTTTTCTTGACAATACGAAGATACCACTGTGATGAAACGGGAGTCGAAAATACAACCTCATATCTTCATTACTGAACACTCTATAGCTCTCTCAAGTTGAACAAAAGCCGGCCATTGGCTTATGAGCTAAACGGCAGCTAAAAAGCGGATTTAAACTGTCTCTATAAACATCAGGCTAGGTTAAACTTGGACTAAAAAGATTCTGGGTTGCAGTTGTATGTTTTGAGAAAATTCTGACATTGCTACTTGTAGATGGTGGACAGGGGAGGCGCTAATAGAGGGGTATTTGCGGAGAAGAAGAAGGTGAGCAAGGGAATAGGCTGGGGACAAACGGAAATACGCCCTGATAGACTTTCAAACCCTCTTCCCCTCAGTTCGAGGAGTTTTTGGTGACATCTGACTTCATTTTCAGGCTCCCCATAGCAACTGATTAGCGTCCCTTGGCACATGTCGACAATACGGCAGAGTGGAGAAATCGATTATTTTTAGCCCAGAAAAATAGAGAAGCAAGAACACAGCAGGGATGGACGGAATGAGAAAAAATGATGAGATAGGTTTATGTATCTCGAGGATTTCGTACATTATTGTATTTTTACCTGTACTATGACGTGAAGTTCATGGTACAGACTGTACTCGTGCTCGTTCTCGTACTCGTACTTACAACCAGTAGAAAGGGAACCTTCAACTTAATCAATAGAAATCGAATGGGACCTATAATGTATCCGTTCTCTTCCCCTACCTCACATGACTCACCACACGGAATGTCTTCTCTCCACGTCCAGTATTTGTAACACAAAATCAGATTTCAAGAACACTGACCACTTCTTCCACAAATTACTCACCCTCATCAACTAGTATTAATTAATCTCAACTAACTTCAACTAATGCCTCCTCTTTATTATTCCTGAGAAATTAAACTTTCCTTATGCAGCGCTTTTTTTTCGCTTAAAAGTCTAATTTTTTTGGTGCTTTGTTTCTCTGCCAAGATTTCGGAACAGCAACATGGAGGGCCTGCTGAAAATGGAAATGCCTCTTTTAGACGCACGCATAATGTGGGGACAAACCTTATTTGAGAATAAATAGAGTTTGATAAAATGCTTTTTCAATTGAGCGCACCACAGACAGAGGATTAATAAAAAAAGGATATATATGAATAAATACGCTTTGCAAAAAAAAAAAAGAAAAGATAAAAAAAAGGTTCCCAGTAGGATACTTGCTCGGTCACATGATGAGCCGTTCCACCGCCAACGCTCTTACGTGGACACTGAGTGTACGTCGTTTTCCTGTTCCACGTGACACCTTGGAGGCCCGAGTTTATTTTTTCGAACATAAAATGGAAACGTTATTTGATGCCGTTCATAAACGATGAAACCCTGTGATTTGAGGAGGCACGGTCGTTTTTAGCATTTTGACCTCAGCATACGGTGCTCCTGGACTCAAGGAGTGTGCTGGGCTTATCCGAATTCTCGTATCGTGCGATATGCGCGAGTTGTGTGCGTTTTTGCCGGCGGCAAAGTCCCTCTTCAGAACATTTACACACGAACATGACCATTGGGCATCATGAAAGTCTGTCAGAAAAGAATGTACATTTGACTGGAAACATGACAGGCTGTTTTTCGACTGAAACCGGGTCAGACTGGACTGAGACGAGATGGGGCAAAATATATTACGGGAATGTGTTTAGGAGCACTATGCGACCAAAATGATATATTATACGCTCATTTTGGACCTTGAGAAAGCCGCCATACATTGCACTTTTGGGACAAGTACAATTCAACTAAGCGACAAAGTTGGTTGGACTTTACAAGCTCCGACACTGCCCATGATGGCCCACTGGCATCGTGTCCGTCCTGACCTCATGTCGGTGTCAATAAGTGGACAAGCCTTAGAATACGTTGCAATGTGCGGAAGGGGCCAGGGGGGGGCAAAAGTGGCATCATTCGAGTCGTCGGCGTCTCAGGAGGGCGATTGTATCACGAAAAAGTATGTTCCGTGCATCTGTCGCCGTTGCGGTGCGAGAAACAGATCCAGAGCGACTCGTCTGCTCTCCCCAGTGTCAGATGACGTTACTGTCAAATGATTTAGTCGATTTTTGCGAATCTTCTCGATAAGAGTTGTTTGCGAGACATGTCTCGAATGGCGCCTTGATGGAGGGGTTTATTGCAGCACGCGGAGAAACTCTACGAGCTAGATGAAAACATATTGTTGATAAACTAGGCCATTTCGAGACGAATGCACTATTCGGATTTCAGATTCCGTTTCCGTAGCGCGTTCTATAGCCGGTATTCCAGGCCCACATAAACGCAAAAATTAGCTCCATTTGTTGGGGTTTCTTAATTAGACTTGTTCAAGGTTACAGTTGAGGAGACGGCGTGGGTTTGGACCTGGATATCGAACACCCGGAGGCGGCTAGTGAGTCTGAAACCCTCTGGGAGGTTAACGGGCGACATTTGGGGGGAGGTGACGGACAAGTCCTGTTTGTGCAATTCTCGTAGTAACCCGGATATCTGACGAGTGGTTGAAAAAACGAGTAGCTGAAAAAACGAGAAGCTGAAAAAACGAGAAGCTGAAAAGAATCCAACTGATGCGAATAGCATAGGACTCCTCCTGTAATTAGATGCGTTAGACTGGCGCTTGTCTGTTATCGTAGTTTGTGTATATGTAAATTGGTTTAATTCACCACAAGCCCGAAACAACACTATTACTCATGTTCACTGATGATGTATAACATGTATAAATGGTCGTTCATTTTTGCCAGAAACTGTGACCTGCATTGGAGAGCTGCACGGGAGTTGGGAAGGCGGGCCAGAAGAGGAATTACTGGTTTCAGAAGGTATAAAATGTTTCTATATGTATGAAACAAGATACCC